CTTCACCAATTTGCAGTCCCACCAGCAATCATATCAGTGTACCTTTTCCCCCACATCCTCGCCAACACTTGTTGTTTGTCTTCATAATAGTTGCCATTGTGACTGAAGTTAGATGATATCTTAGAATAGTTTTGATTTGCATTTCTCTGATTGCTAGAGATGATGAGCATTTTTTTCGTAAATTTGTTGATTGATTTTACATCCTCTTCTGAGAAGTGTCTGTTCAGGTCCTTGGCCCATTTATTGATTGGGTTATTTGATTTTTTGGTGCTTAGCTTCTTGAGTTCTATATATACCCTAGAGATTAGTGCGCTATCTGATGTGTGAGGGGTAAAATTTTTCTCTCAATATGTAGGCTCTTTATTCACCTAACAGATTGTTTCTATTGCTGAGAAAAACTTTTTAGTTTGATTCTATATTATTTATTGATTCTTGTTTTAAATTATTGTGCTATAGGATTCTTATTAAGGAAATTGGGGCCTAATCCCACATGATGGACATTAGGGCCTAATTTTTCTTCTATTAGAGTCTCTGGTTTAATTCCTAGGTCCTTGATCCATTTTGAGTTATGTTTTGTGCATGGTGAGAGACAGGGGTATAATTCCATTTTGTTGCATATGGATTTTCAGTTTTCCCAGCACCATTTGTGAAAGATGCTATCTTTTCTCCAGTGCACGTTTTTGGCACCTTTGTCTCATTTAAGATAATTGTGATTTTGTGGGTTAGTACCTGTGTCCTCTATTCTGTACCACTGGCCTACCAGCCTGTTTTGGTGCCAGTACCATGCTATTTTTTGTTACTATTGCTTTGTAGTACAGTTTAAGGTCTGGCATAGTGATACCACCTGCTTTGCTCTTCCTGCTTAGAATGGCTTTAGCTATTCTGGATCTCATATTTTTCCAGATGAATTTCATTATTGCCTTTTCTATTTCTCTGAGAAATGCCATTGAGATTTTGATCAGAAATTCATTAAACCTGTATAGTGTTTTTGGTAGTATGGACATTTTGATAATATTAATTCTGCCTATCTATGAGCAAGGTAGATCTTTCCATCTTCTAAGGTCTTCTTTTATTTATCTCTTTAAGTTTCTGTAGATTTCATTGTATAGATGTTTCATCTCTTTTGTTAAGTTGATTCCCAAGTATCTTTTTTAGGTTATTGTGAATGGGGTAGTTTTCCTCATTTCCTTCTCAGAGGATTTGTCACTGATATATGGAAATGCCTTTGATTTATGGGTGTTGAGTTTATACCCTGCTACTCTGCTGAATTCATTTACTAGTTCTAGAAGTTTTCTGGTGGAGTTTTTTGGGTCTTCTAGGTATAAAATCATATTGTCAGCAAATAATGCTAGTTTAAGTTTTTTTTTCCCTACACTTATTTCTTTAATTTCTTTCATCTGTCTAATTTCTCTGGTCAGTGTTCCAAGAACTATCTTGAATACAAGTGGTGAGAGAGGGCATCCCTTTCTTGTTCCAGATTTTTCAATTTTTCTCCATTTAGAATGATGTTGTCCTGAG